ACTTTATTATATTGAGTGTGTTATTTAAATCTGACTCTGAATAATTTTTTTCGATAGTTATTTTTTAATATCTCTACTTGTTTATTAAAGTCAGTCAATTCTGAGCAATTCCTATGAAGACGTAGGAATTGGCTCTTAGGTGCGCTTTCGAGCCATGGCTTGTAATGGCAACTAGATTTATCTATAACTGTATTTACACAAACTTTTTAAAAAAAGGTTTTTGTTTGAAGTTGTCCTTCCTTTATAAAAATGTTGAGATCTAAAAAGTTGATGGATTCCCTACTAAATTCGTGAGTTAAAATGATACCACAGTATTATGACATTCACAATTAGAATGTCATATAGAACTAAAACATTTTTTTTAAAATTCTTTTCTCTCATTTTTTTTTATATATTATTCATATTAAATTGTTTTAAACCTAAATATTTGATGTTAAACGAAAGCCCTGTTTACCCTGAATAAAATGATATATAATAAGTGTGGGTGCACATAATATGAAAGAGGTGAAATACGCCTGAACAGACATACAGCGCAAATTCAAGTTTTTGTTTTGATCACAACGTGTACATTTGGCTCAGTCCTTATGGGGTTAAGGGGGTTAAATACAAGAATGTTTGTTTATCTTTTATTTTTTGTAATTGCATTTACTGTGAAATACAAAGAAAACTGTTTTAATGTGCAATCATGAGTAGCTCTATAGGGGTGATACATTTGATTTTTACGCTTTTTGATTGCCATTTAAGCATCAGCACTCTTCATCAGCTAATTGTAACAATATTTGAATCTAACACATTTTTGTATTGATGGCACATTATCTATATCCAGTTGAGATTTTTTTAGAGTTATGTATTTGATAAAAAAATGAATTTACTATGAATCTCCATCTGTCCACCTGCTTCTTTTTTTTTTTTTAAATCTGTGATATTAAGTAAATAAAGTCTCTGTAGTGATGAGATATATATTTGTGTGTATGTGTATATGTGTGTGTGTATGTATGTGTGTGTGTGTGTATATATATATATATATATATATATATATATATATATATATATATTATGTATGTATGTATGTGTGTATATATATATATATACACACACACACAAACAATATGTTCAGTGATTGTTTTTTTTCAGGCTATGCTGAAATAGGTCAAGAATTTTACCTGTTATTGATTTGCTGGAAGTCATTAATATTAAGGTTGTCCATTGAATGGTCCCTTTTTAAAGGATATCATGAGATCCACTGAAATTTTGTACCAAATCTCTAAAACTGCTTTCTTTGCAGCCCTGTGAAGGTGAGTTTGGTTGGAGCTGTTCTGTTTACGTTGCAGCAAACTCAGCATCTTCCTCTTTCAAGAAACAACCTCATGTTATTCTACACCTTGTTTCTGATCGCTACAAAGGTAAAAAAAAACCTGCTAGTCGCCTTATTAAACCCCAGTAATGTTGGGTAATATTTCAGTTTGTAATCATTCTGGCCCAGAGAGAGGATGGCACAAAAGGATCGTACAAGCAGAATTATTGTGAATTGATACAGTTTTGTGCTAAATAAAACCAAGAAGTAGTTTATATAGCTTGTCATTGTTTAACTGAAAATACTAAATTTTAAGATACCAAGAAGACTAAACCAATTACACTGAATATCATGTCTTGAGAATGTGGCATAAGTACAATAAACCAGAATGGAATAACAATTAATGCAGGAAGGAACGATTAACTAGGATTACAGAAGGTCTGATTAGAAGTGGAAGATATTTAACCATTTTATTTAAAACATAAAATAGCTTGTGCAATGCCACAATTAAAGGGACTCTATAGGCACCCAGACCATTTCAGCTCATTGAGGTGGTCTGGGTGCAGTGTCTCAGGTCCCTTAGCCCTGGAAAGGTAATTATTGCAGTTTTTAATTAAC